CGCACACCCCTGTAGCAGTTCCTGATCGGCTGTGGTGCTTTTACTTGCTAATTTTTACTTCAGCAACCAGGATGGTCTTTTAGAATGTACATCACATTGCGTCACTTCTGCTTAAAATGACTTGGGTTCTCCTCTAACAACTCCATACATCTCCCTATTCCCTTACCTAACTTCTCTGCTCCTTGAATTACTAAGAAATGACCTCCTCTCATGCTTAGACTAAGCCCTCAGGCCTTCACTCCTTGGTCCTTGCCCTCTTTTCCATGGAAATTGTGAGTCGGTATCCCCTCTGCTCTCCTTGCTTTAGCTACCCTGACCTTCTCTCACTGCTCGGAGTACACCAAGCCTTTCCCATCTCACGCCCTCTGCGTGTGCTGATTCCGTCTCTCACAAGGCTGATCTCCCATCTTTGCTCTTCTGAACCTCTCACCCAGATAGTCTCAGTTTAAATGTCGTTTCTTCTTTGAACCCTTCTCTAAACAACCCATTTCCTAGCACTGTCTCTCCTAAAACCCTTCATAGCACTTTTCGCAACTTACACACACACACACACACACACACATATATATATATATATATATATATATATATATATATATATATATATATATATATATATATATATACACACACACACACACCTGTTTGGCGACTGTCTCCTCTCTCAGAATGCAAGTTCCATGAGGGTGATGTGTGGGTTTGTATCCCAATATGGTATCAACCCGCACCTAGTGCTAATGACAATGTCTGATGCAGAAGAGATGCCTAATAAAATATTTTTAAAACAAATATATGAACGAAAGAAGAAAGCAAGCAAGCTAGTTTCTCCATGAGGCTTTTTCATACAACCTCTCTATAGAAATGAGCAGGGACAGGTGTTTTAAGCAAAGTTGTAATTCATGAAAATCTAAATTTACATAAAGGGTATGTTGAGAGGTGATTTTTTTCACTTTACAAAAATATCCATCATAAAATTCTTTAAACAGGCTTTTCAGGTACATAGAACATAAGATTTTATTGATTAAAACCATATGCTTGCACAGAATTCTTCAGGAAAATATCTCTCATATAAAGCAAGGTTGACCTATAAGCAATTTCCTTAAGGCACCTAGCCCAGAATGGCCAACTCTCAAATTTCCTAGGTAATAGATAATGGGAGGCCTGGAATGCAGTGGATATTTGAAACCCTAGAATGCAAAGCGGTAATTTCAGCCATTTAGGGCCCTCATGACTTTTCTCACAAAAATAGCTAATGGGGAGATGAATCAATGTATTTAAACCTCCCCAACTCCTCTTTCTGTATGTCAGTGCAAGTAAGAATGGCTGTGAAGTCACCTCCAAAGAGGCTGCTATGGAAAGAACAAAGGCTTATAAAATTCACCCAATTGGTGCTTTTCTTCCAACTCCCCCTACCACCACTGATAATTAAGTTGTCTGGTTGAAAAACTGGAAAAAAGAATTCAGTGTGTTAATACATAAAATACAGTTAACCTCTCTGGGTCTTAATTTTCTCCTTAACAATATGGGAGTCCTTTTAAAGATTATTGTTTTATAATTCTGTTCTTGGACCTACCCAAACTTTACAAAAGAAGGTAATTTGTGACTGGTTTCTCCGGTTAGTGAAATAAATTTCTCAGCTATTTCTGCCCTCCTTATTGGTAAGCTTAGTAAATGATCATGAACTTTCAATCAAAACATTTGTAATATCGGTGGAATTGGTTGATTTGACTATTATCGATGATTCGTGCTAAGAAAAAAATGCTTTCCAGAATTTCTTTACAACTAACCTTTTCTTTATCAAACATATTCCACTATGATGGAAGCATAGTAAGCTATTCTTGAACTGCAGTACAAGTGAAATATTATAGCTGTAGGAAGGAAAAACACTTTATTGTTGGGGTAATAAAGACCAAGGTAGACTTGGGTATAGGTTAGTTTTATCCTTCAAAAACAAAAGTACTTTATCTCAGAAAATCCAAAACCTCCCAATTTAGAAAACATTTGGAACATGGGAAAAAAACAAGCCTTATGTCTATAGAGTTCTTGGCAATGTTTTTGCCTTAGTCAACTTCCTGAAGCATTAGTCTACTCCCACTCCCACAATTTTTATTTTTTGGCCCAAATATTGCTGTACTGGATGACATTTTGAGGGAAAACTATTTCTCCAACTGATGTACTAAGGTATTAACTTTTTACATAAAGATTTTAGAGTGATAATGTTGAGGCCTAAGACTTTTCTGCATGGGTCTGAAAAGCTAAAGAATGTATTCATGGAAAGGCACATTATTTAGCTATCTCCTGCTTTGTAGGTTAAAGGGAGATCTTGAATATATCAACAAATATAAACTTTATATTTGAAAGTTAATGTTCTTATATTTGGTCTGCATTTTTTCTCTCTTCCCTCTTTACTACTGTAAATGATATCAGGTCCTTTTTCATTGAGAAAGAGGAATAGATTAAGAAAGGGAGTCAGGAAAGAGGGAAAGAAAAAACAAAGCCTGGGGAGAATGGTGTTACAGCTGATACTTGATCAACCAAGAGCCCCAAACTAGACTAGATATGACCAAAAATAAACAATAAAATAAAAGTATAGTGCAAGCAGAGGCCAATTTAGACATGGCAATGGGAAGAGAGAAGGTTCATGAAAGAGGATTTGTTAGTTGGAGTTATAAACTGAAAAATAGACCGAAGAGTCAAGACCAGGAAAGGCTTCTGAGGAAAGCAAGATGCAGTCTGTATCCTGATAACAACAGGAATATGGGTGTTAGCAGTGACGTCTTCCATGTGCAATACTCGGAGCTGCCACTTGACTAACAATTCAAACCTCTGTTTTGAATTGAAACAATCCAGAAAGAAACAACTATTTACCCATTTTTGTGGAATGCTGAGAAAGACAGGAGTTTCTTACAAGTTTATAAGTCAGGTCCTCATATGAGGAGAGTTTTACTCATTGTGCGTTTGTCAGGAGGTTGGGGACAGGGACGAAGGTTGATTGAGGGGGAGGCATTTTTTAAATGTCCTTAGGTTGGATAGATGGATGGATGGATGGATGGATAGATACATACTCATAGATACGTAAGATGAGCAAGTTAAAGACATAAACACACACACACACACACACACACACACACACACACACACACACAGAGAGAGAATTAAAATTTGCAACTATTTAATAAGAAACAAGGGATACATGGTATTTCCTTAGATTTAAGAAGAATCTTTACCTTAACTGGAGAATATGCGTAATTGAGTGACTTTTTTTCCCAGTTACCAACAGACCACCAAGTTATTTTCTTTTTCCATGTGTGTTGATGCCAAAACCATGGGAGATTGCCTCTGAAGAAAACACCTGTTGGGAAAAATGCCTCTTGTTTAAGATTGTACCCTACTAGTAATTTAATTGCAGCTTTTTTTTCCCTTTCAAATGTGAAGTTTTATTTTTGTAAAAATGCTAAGGAAACACAGTGTTCTTTCAAAGTATCATAATTGTGGAGAACCCTAGTGCACTGTTAGTGGGAATGTAAATTGATACAGTCACTATTGAAAACAGTTCAGAGGTTCCTCAGAAAAGTAAAACTGGAACCGTGTTATCTAGCAATCCAGAATGCAATGCATTCTGGGTATGTCCAAAGGAATTGAAATCAGGATCTTGCAGAGATATCTGCACCCCCATGTTCATTGCAGCATAATTCACAATAGTCGAGATATGGAAACAACCTAAGTGTCCATTAACAGATGAAGGAATAAAGAAGAGGTGGTATATGCATGCAATGGAATACTATTTGGCTACAAGAAACAAGGAAATCCTGCCATTTGTGACAATGATTGACTTTGAGGGTATTATGCTAAGTGAAATAATTCAGGCAGAGAAAGATAAATACTGTATGATATCGCTTATAAGTGGAATCTAAAAAAGACAAACTCAGAGAAACAGAGTAAAGCGATGGCTACCAGGGGTTCAGGGGTGGAGAAAATGGAAAGATGTTTGTCAAAGGGTGTAAACTTCCAGATGTAAGATTGATAAGTTTGGGGATCTAATGTATATAGCATGGTGATTATAGCCAATAATACTGTATCATATCCTTAAATGTTGCCAGGAGAGCAGGTCTTACTTAACTGTTCTCACCACAACAAGGAAATGGTAACTATGGGATGGGATGGAGGTGGAAGCTAATACTTTTTGGTGATCGTTTTGTGTCTTATAAATGATCAAATCAACATGTGGTACACCTTAAATTTATACGTTATGTTTCAATTATATCTCAATAAAAGTAGAGAAATAAAAAAAATAAAAAATAAATAAAATAAAGGATCATGTTTAGCCCTATGCCCAGTAAAATATGCAGGGCACCGAGGAGGGCTCAGAGCATGTGAACCCTGAGCTGGTTTAGGAAGCCTGAGGCTACATACGCGAGTGAGTGTGCTGCGAAGGAGAGTACAGTGTAGGAGGCCACCCAAGTTCTAATCCCAGCCCTGCCCTGAACCTGTTGGGTGGTCTTGGTCAAGGTCCAAGGCCTCTCAGAGCTTTCAGCTCTCCATTTATAAAGTAAGAGTATTGAACTAGATATTCCATAAGGTCCCTTGCAGCACCATCATTATTATATAATCCCATGAGTTTAACTTTAAATGTCAATGCCACTTGGAGCCCTAGAGGTCTGCTTAGGAGGTCGGTCAGTTTTTAGTTACATAATAATGATATAACCTATCCGTTCTTTAACCTCTACTGAATTAATGGTTTGAAATTTTTAGCCTTGAATCACATGATTTTGTGCATGCTGCACAGATCAATATCTGAGTGGAAAGACAGAAGGATAGAAGAAATAACAGTAACTATATTATTTTTTCTGCTTTCAATGCCTTATTTTGCTTCCATTTTATGCAAAATGATCTTGTAGTACTGAGAATAAAGAATTATGGTTTCACGAGTTCATCTTAAGTTTACCACGGAAAGAGCATGATTACTGTTAGCAACCATCTTCCTCTTCATGTTTCACTAGATTTGGAAAGAAGAAAGACGATAAGGGTGGGAAGGCCGAGCAGAAAGGGCCCGTGAAGCGTGGCGGCCCGAGAGAAGAGGAGCTGGAGAAAATGAAAGAAGAACGGGAACGGTGAGCACAAACGCTGAGCGCCTGTTTTATTTGAGCCCGTTGTTTGTTTTTAATTTGGTTATTGCATCAATCAACTGGAGAAATTTTATTTTAAGAAGCACGAAGGTTGATACACAGGAAAAGGTACCTCACATAAAAGGAGACTGCCTATCTTGGGGGATTTTTATTATATTTTGAGAAGAAACTAACTTCATGTTTTTATTGTATGAGTACTTATAATTTCATAATGTGCTACCCCTGGTTTTGACTATACCAATGTGTAGTTTCCCTATAGTTAAAACAATCAGATTTTTTTTTGTATAAAAAGGTCATTTTAATATTGATGTTTAGAACTATCAAATTTCCATAGTCTGGTTCTAATTTTTGTGAAGCTGTCGTATGCCTTCTTAATTTTATTCTGCTAAATCCATTTGGGTACTGTTATTTGAGAAGTACATGTCCTTCATTTTTAAAAAGCCAGTGTCTTTTATTAAGCTATCAGCAAGTTGCAAAGCATGTCGCCCATCTGCTAAAGGACTGGTTCCATTTACTGAAATAATGACAGTTTGCAAGGGCTGAATTCTCCTGTTTGAGGAGCTTAATATTCCCATTTGGACAAGAGGTCCTTCACGTATCTGTGATGTTAACTCTGGCACTTATCCCAAGTAGATGTGTAAATATATGATTTTGAAACATGTAGTGGAATATTCATATTTCTGCCAAAAATTCCCAGTCTTTACAACTGAATGAAGCTTGGAGAAAAACTGAGATTACAGTAAAACTGGCATATAATTTTAAGTATGTAATTCTGACTTCATGTATGAAGTTAGATTTGTCCAACTTGCTTATTAGTAAATAACAATAGTTCTTTTAGTTTTTAAAGAGTTTCTCATACATATATTAATACTCTAGTGTGCATACTAAGAAAATCATACTTACTCATTGTGTTTTCTAGCACAGAGCAGTTTAAGAGTATCGACTATTAACCTTTGACCCTTATCTTGTAGTCTATTCCCGTTGAGAAGGCTGACTTTATCAATAGCGAGAAAAACAAACGAACAAAAAACCTATTTAGACCTTTCTCATTTTTGAGAAGTTGATAAGCTCGATCCCAGGGTCAGTGAAGTCATTAAATGAAAATCAAATGCTTTGCATTGTCATTGACTATTCACCTGGCAGAGCTGCCCCAAAGATGAATTCTCCATTATAGCCCAAGATTCAGCAATCCTGTAACGTAACATGTAATTCAGGCTAAGATTTCAATGCACATATTGGCAAAGACCTCTATGTGGTGAGCCCACATCGCAGATCTTTTCTGCTCCCCTGACTCCACTTACTGAGGCACCACATCCTATGCCTCATCTTCAGAAAACTGAGCTGTTTGCTAGGATGCAGACTTCATGGATTTTTGTGGTGCCATACTTGCTTGGGATTGGGTGAGAGGTGGGGGAGGGGGTTACTTCTAGTAGCTAGGGAGCTGTGTGCCAGCTAGAAAATTGATAACCCATAAAATAAGGTGGGTTGTCTTTAAGCAAGAGTTCATTTCCTTTCTGGTTTTGCCTTTAGGAAGCAGGTGCCTGAGGGAGTCTCGTGCTTAAAGCAGGGCTGTAAATTCGCCTCAGCTGGCTATATAGGATTCAAGTCCAATTTTTAAAAAATATGTCTGGTCAAAATATTGAAAGAACTACACTATTAGCCTCCACTTAGGCCACTTCCCACACATGAACACATAAAACACATCTGATCGGGGTTTCCTAGAGACAATATTATCTCAATCATGTATGATGGAAAGAAGTTGAAGGGGCTGATTTTATGGTTGGGTGCTATAGAATTAATGGCCAAGGGCATGTCAACAGCTCAGGGGCCGAGGGCCATAGAGGGTGGAGGTGGAGGCTGAACATTTGGCATTGTTCCCGAACCCTGTGTCCCATTTCTTGGCTCTCCATCATCCATAGGAAACCAATTCACAACTCTTAAAGAACTCAGTAAGGGTATCACTCTTCATGACATGGCCATGGAAGTAAAATAGAATAAAATAAGAAATAGCACATAAAAGTTCACCAAGTTGTCTTTTTTTCTAATACATTTGGAATGTATTACCTTAAGATGATTCAAGCCATCCTATGGCTTGCTTGTTTCATCCTAGCTACCACAGATATAATAGTTTTCACCATTAACACATCCCTTGTTCGAAGGGTTTAAAGCACTTAAGTGAAATATATACTGTACAGTGCTGAAGCCAGCCTGTACCAGCTTATGAGAGACAATTATTAAGCTTTCAAGTACTTTGTGGGCTGATTGCTAAACCATTGGTAGCTTGAAATTGGTTATGGTGAGAGCATTTACTCCACAGAAATTGGCAAATGTGATAGGTTGGGTTTTGTCTTTTTTTTTTTCTTTCTTTTTTTCAAAGACCCAGTTTACCAACACACCACTTAGGGTCTATACCAACCCTATTTAATACATGACCAGGAAGAAATTATCAAAAATACAGACCAAAAAAATTACTCATCCAAATCAAACCACATGACTTCTTATAGCTGTGTTACTCAAAGTGTTGTTCATGGACCACCTGCACACAATGAATCACTTGGGGAGTTTATTAAAATCCCTGAGTCCCACACCGGACTTGCAGGATGAGAATATTGGCAGTTAGAGCCCAGGAACCTAACCTATGTTTAATGGGTAAGCGCAATGTGATTCTTCAGCATTCTAAAGTCTGACCACCACTGACTTGGAGGAACAGGATTTGGCTGGAACATTAGGTTAAACTATCCATATTCCATGATAAATAAGACTCAGATTTGTTTTTCCCAAAAGGATTGAAAAACTCAGTTTAAAAATATTGTGATCTTTCTCATATGCCCTCTCTGAAGCATCCTATCTTACTGGCACAGTATTTTGTAACCACGAGGAACCTTTGCCAGTGCTCGCTCACCTAAGGAAATATGGATCACCGTCTCCCAGCATTCCCCATGCACAAAAAACTTACAAAAACAGTAAATTCTATAAGAAAATTTTGGAAATATAAAAAAGCATAAAGAAGATGATTAAAATCAGGCAAAATTCCATCATAATTCCATAACCACTATTAATGTTTTTATAATCTTTTTACTATGTACATATATATTTTCTTTGAAAACTTGATATCTATACTGCATATATAATATCTTTTTCACATTATACTGTGAGCATTTCTACATGTCATTAATTTGGAAAATGTCATTTCAATGACTGCCTAATATTCTCTGAGATCAATACACCATAACTTATTTATCTCCCATTGTCAAACATATAGTCTCTTTCCATTTTTCACTGTCGCAGACAGTAATACCTTGATAAGTATCTAGGTACAAAAATCCTCATAGATTACCTCTTAAATCATATAATTCCAGTTTGAAGGTTCAATTTTTTTGTAAATGTTTTACTTAAGGGTTAAATCTAACTTCAACTCTAAATTTTAGGATTATATCATCCCTCTCCATTCCTCCCATTACTTTTATTATGAGTTCCATAACTCATTTTAATCTACATACCTAATTTCTGATATGGAACTGTTAGGATTCTATATATGAATATCTTATTCACAGCGAAAGCTATGAAAAGATCAAAAAACTGCAATTGGGCTACTAGGTTAGATTGGAGGAAGGTAGAGTCCAGAACAGTGGTTCTCAGTTTGGGGAAGGGGGGCAATTTTGTCCCTGAAGGAACATTTGGCTATATCTGGAGACAGTTTTGATTATCACAGCTTTGTGTGGGTGAGGGACAGAGAGGGGGTTGCTACTGCCATATACTGTATAAAGGCCAGGGAGGTGGCTAAACATCCTACAGTCACCATCCCCAACAGTGAGTTATCTGACTCAAGCTATCCGTAGTGTAGAGTTTGAAACCTGTGTTCTAACCTCTGAATTTCACAAAGTGAAGGTTACTCTCCTGGACATTAGAATTACATTGTCTCTTGATATCCTGTGGATATCACAGAGAAATATACTCCAGATGACATAACCCTGGAGGGATTATTAGCTATTTGAGACTGTACCCAAATATTACTAATGAATATTCCATCAATATAAATTTGCAAGAAAAATGTTTTTCTCAAAAACTTATTTTTAACCCTGGCATGCTGAGCATTGGCATTAATGATGATGCCTGTTGATCATATAATATTTCAAATGCCAAGAAGCTGCAGGGTAGGTAATGTGTCCGATGACAGAATAATCTGGGACAATGGATTGAATCAAACATTAAGTTACTTAATAGGAATAAATGCAAAGTCTTGCTTTTAAATCCAGAAATGAACTGTACAAACACAGGATGTGGACGGTTTGACTTAATACCAAATATATGGAAAATCTGCCTGATGGTTTTAGTTGAGGGTAAGTTTAGAATGAGTCAAGATGAGGATGTGCCTGCCAAAAACGTAATCCAGTCCTAAGCTCCATTACTGGACGTTAGTATACAAAACGAAGGAAGAAACAATAGTTCCCAATTTTGCACTGCTCAAATCACACCTGCGATATCCTCTGCCTGTCTCACACAACAAGAATGGCAGCAGTTAATCCAGGTCCTTTTAAAATGTTGAGGGACCTGTGAATGAATAGGCTGCAGAGTTAAGACTTAGTCGATTTCACATGATCGAAGAACTTTCACATGGAAGAGGAATTTGATGTATTTATACCATCCGTTCTATTCTATTCTCTTTATTCATCTAGCCACATATCTTCTTGAAGATACTAATGAGGAATTATTTTAAGAGAGGTAACCTTTAGCTTAGTAACTAGGAGAGAAAACATCCTGATAATTAGAATGCCTCATGAGGCAGTGAGTTTATTGACACTGGAAATGCCTAATAAGTTGATTGAGAAAGGATTAGTACATCAGAAAAGTACTGGACTAAATCAGAGTTTCATAAACTTCAGTCATTGATATATATTACCTTGTCATATATATAAATAAATATATAAATGCAAAATCCTGTAAGTTCATGTAATTAAATGCACTAAGCTACATACCATCAAAAT